AAAAAAAAAAAAAAAAAAGCACTGACACTATATTAATGGAACTGGGCAGGAAGAGGTTAACATGAGGGGGCACTCAAAGGGTTAACTGTGTGCAGGGAGTGTTTTTCTAGGGGGAGGGGTGTGTGTGTGTTTCACTGTAATCACACTGCTCTGGATGGCTGTGCACAGCCATCCAGAGCAGTGTGCCCGAGGACCGTTAGTAAACAAAAAATAGTCCTCCTCTCGTCAGTGATGGTCGGAAATCATTGGGCGCTGGCGACTAATTACTGGCCGGGACCCGGTGATTGACAGCCGTGGCCGTGAATGGTGGCGTGGGTAGGGCTCAAGCGTGCTCCCTACCCAGGAAGGCTAAATCACGTGTGTGTGTGTGTGTGTATATATAATCTATATCTATATGTGATTTTGTGCACCTGTGCCACCCTGTAGCAGTATTTCTGCTATAGAGCGGTCGGGAAGCGGTTAAAGTAGGTTTGGTTTTATAGACTGTAAACTGTTGAAGACTTTTATAAAAAAAAAAAAAAGTCTTTGGAAAAAACTAATTACACCAGGAGGCAAGCACTCTACAAAGATATGGTCTCTCTGCACACTGTTATGTCACATAACTTTTTTCCGGTTGCTTTATCAAGAACTCTAAAAATAAAAAATGAAGAGTAAGAATATGTTTGATCATCAGGATATATCAAATTCAGATTCTCGGCTGTTGCCTTTTTACGGCCAGCACAGAGCACTAGAGTTTTCACAACTTTTACAGAGAACAAGCAGTATATCTATTGCTATAGTTTTGGTGTTCTGACAGGAGAGATGTGGCTTCTGCGCGATTGCCTGCCCCTCCCTCCATTGTCCATTCATAGATTATATGCTATTTTCTGAGTTCACATAACATAAAGCCTTCCATAATTAAGCAAAGAGGACAGGAGGGGTAGGCAGGGTGGCTGCAAACAAGTCTGTAGATGATGCATTCGAGACTTGAACCAGCATTGGAGCACCAGGAGGGATAGCTATACTCCTGTCAGTCAGTAAAAATCTGGATACGTAACAAGAAAGACAAGTCCATTACTTAACCCTCTATAGGCCAATAAAACTGCTGCAATTCCTGGAGTTTAAGTCTCTCCGGTTAGTACAGTTTATGGCAGCACTCGTGTCAGTGTTGGCCTGGAACTACTGCAGGTTACGTATTCTCTTCGGAAAGACTAAAAGCTCCATGTAAGGAGTCTGCAGAAAGCTAGTAGGAAATCACTACACAGGTGAAATAAAACACTAGCACATCTTACGCTACTGAAACAGTGGGATTTAATGGAATATATAAAGCAGAATAATGGATTAAGTTCATAGAAGCCAACTAACTAGTGTGCATTGAAGAATTATATTCAATAGCAAAATGTAAAACTTTCTGCCATTATTAAAAACACATTTCTTGACTCATAAAATCCCCCATTAGCTTCTGAAGTCTACACTGATTTTCCACCCCTGCCAATAAGATGTAAAGAACACATTTATAGGAGAAGCCAGTCACCAGGTTACCTACTACTAAAGTGTACACATCCCCTACCCCGGGTGTCGGCAACCCGCGGCTCCAGAGCCGCATGCAGCTCTTTTTCACCTTGGCTGCGGCTCTGGAGCACACTGCCCACCAGGTGACAGGCAATAGGGCAGCAATGGGCAAACTACGGCCCGGCGGACCTTTTAATCCGGCCCGCGGAGCTAGGCTCCCGCTAGGCTCCTCTCACAGTCCCCGCCCTGAAGACCGGTGTAGCATGAAAATCTGTCTCCTATGAGGATCTGTCCACCTCGACGTATCTGCGCATGTGCCGGAGATCGCCGATTGGCTGCTAATGCCTGAAACTGGCACATGCGCAGATACGTCGAGGGGGACAGATCCTCATAGGAGACAGATTTTCATGCTACACCGGAACGGCGCGGGAACACGGCGAGAGGAACGCATGGAGCAAAGGTAAGTGAATTGACACAGGGGGGACTTGGGGACTTAATATGGGGGATGAATTAATATGGGGGATGAATTACTATATGGGGGAATTACTATGGGGGATGAATTACTATATGCGGGATGAATTACTATATGGGGGGTGAATTACTATATGGGGGGTGAATTACTATATGGGGGATTAATTACTATATGGGGGATTAATTACTATATGGGGGATGAATTACTATATGGGGGATTAATTACTATGGGGGATGAATTACTATATGGGGGATGAATTACTATATGGGGGATGAATTACTATATGGGGGATGAATTACTATATGGGGGATGAATTACTATATGGGGGATGAATTACTATATGGGGGATGTATTTTCAGTTTTAAAAATGTGGCTCTCAAAATAAATTTCAATCGTGGTTTTGGCGAGATTTGGCGCAGTTGAAAAAAAAGGTTGCCCACCACTGACCTAAGGCTATGATTGTGATTATGACGATACACTGTGGCCCTGATTAACCCTTTGCTTACTGGGCCCTTAAACCCCCTTCATGACCAGAGCGCTTTTTGCAATATATGCAGTGTCGGATTTGTTTTAAATGTTGCAATGGTTTTGCGGCTCCCAGTCTTTTTTTCCCTCTCGGAAACGGGTCCAAGTGGCTCTTTATGTCTTAAAGGTTGCAGACCCCTGCCCTACCCCTTAACTGGGGTTGATTAACAGAGCATAGGGGAGGTCCACTTTTCAAAGTGAATCAAAAGAAGTACGGTAAACCGGTGTTCACTTTGAATAAGCAATCATGTGAAGTTTAAAAAAAAAAAAAAACAAAAAAAAAAAACAAAATCACTATTTATTAAATCAACCCCACGGTGTAGTCCAGTTCAGTCCACTTAGTCTAAGATTGGGGGTCCCAGAAGTGGGGAGGTCTGGTCTGCAAAGGTGCCGGACCTCTACTAGCTAAATATAACCCCTCCCAAAGCAATGTCATCATTGGCAACAGAGCTGAATGTTTTAACCTCCACAGCTTCATAACCAATATCGAGACTCTCCCAGAACGTCACAAACACGAGATACCTGTACTCTCCCAGAATATGTTCTCATTTGCAAACAAACATACCATCAGATCTTCACAGCTTCTCCCTCCAGAAAATGGCAGCACAGAATTTTCCTGAGCTAAAATACACAGCTCAATAGGCATCATTTACCTTTAAAGAATTTAAATGTAAACCTTAAATGACGTTTAGTTTGCTAAAGTGCTGTGTATCATGAACAACTGCCTTTATTTTATAAAATTGCTTTCACTTTTTGTCATCCTTTTTTGCTTCTCACTGCTGCTGATCTCCTGCAACCACTTAGGGCCCACTCCACATGCAAGCAAGCAATGGATGCACCGCATCTTGCAGGGACGGATGATTGGGGAAATCACTTGTTCTGGTTACAACTGCCTAAAAAGGGTATTTCTCCTCACTTTGGAGAGATTTAGGCTGGCCATGCATTATACAATTTTCTTTCGAAAATTGCTTTAGATTTACCAAAAACCATATAATATGAGGTCAAACCTAAACAACACTTTCAATTGTATCCAATTAAGCAGGCCCTTGCAATACATAGTTGAAGGTAAATCTAAAGGAACTTGGACAGAAAATTGTATAGTGCATGGCCAGCCTAACTCTCTATTAGTGTTACGTGTGTGCACAAGAGGAACGAAGAGAAATCTCTACAATGGGACATAGAAGGGTTTTAAGAATTACTTTATCTAAAACTAAAGAAATAAAAGTGTGTACATAGAGTTGACAAAAGGCCCACTGTTACCTGACATTCATTACTGAATTTAATAAAGCTTTACACACTGCAGCTCTACACATGATACCTTACAACTACCATAAAGCAGTTCACGCAATACCTTCAGTTTTTTACTCTTTTTCGGCTTCTCAGTTGCTTGTGGTTTGCTCGGGGGTGGCTGGGGTTGTGGAGATGGGGCCTTTTGCTCTGGCACTGTTGGAGTTGGAATATTAGTATGTGACATCACAAGTGGTATAGCTGGCACCATAGGATTGCTTGGAATAGTATAATCCAAACTCGTCATCACCATAGGTGCAGGGACTTGGAGTGGAAGCCCCATATAACTGGATGCAACATTCATGGTAGTTATGGCAGGACCTGATGGTACAAAACACAGAAATGTTATCAAAGTTGCTCACGAGCTAAAACCCAACCACGCTACAGATGACAGTAAACAAATCCTGACCTGCAGGGAGAGCCTGCTGAGTGTAGAGCACAGGACAACTTCCTATTGTCACCGTTTGTTCCTGAAAAATATCTGTGGCTTTCCTCTTTGAGGCTTTTCCAGATACAGCCTGCTCATTTTTCACCTGAAATGACCAGAACAAATGTTATTTCATTGGCTACACACATTGGTCTGAAATTCTGCTCTGTCTGAAGCCAAGCCCTAACCCTGCTGTTTAACAATTCAATGCCCGGGATCCTACTGGCCTTAATGAGGAACTGAAATATTAACGATAAAAAAATGCCAGCTAAAAGGACTAGTCACCAGTATTTCTTGTGATCTCCTCTCAGCTGATCTATCACCATCACGGACTTTCCATGCCTTGTTCTGCACTGTGGCTCTGTGTAGAGGTGGCCATTCTGGTAGAGATATAAGGCTTTGCTTCCTCATGTCAGAGGACCAGAAAGAAGAAAACCAAGCAGCACAGCGGTGACATCTCCGAATCTCATTCTAAATCTCCCAAGACTAGTCCTCAGACAGAAGAGCCTTAGATCTCACACTGCACATACAACTACGAGGCTGTAAAAGAGTGACCCTTAATTACTGGCACAAGGGCTCACCTTAGAGGCAGGAGTCTCAGTTTTGGCAGAGGTCATGACTATAGTCTCCATTCCTGGGACTGGTGGCTCAACATTATCATCATCTTCCATTTCAACCTCCTCAATTTCTTCTTCCTCCAAGGGAGGTGGGGGTGGGGGAGGGGAATCAGGAGGAGGAGGGGGGAGGGGAGTCAGGAGGGGGAGGGGGAGGGGGAAGAGGAACTTCTACAGGTAGTGGGGGCTGCTGACCGTAGTTCCAGTACTGACCAACTGGTGCACTAGTTGATGTTTTAGCAGGGATGGAATCTGCAAAAAAAGAGAACAATGAAGGTTATAAATACAATAAAACAAAGCATGCCGGGTGGTGGATTGGAACGTGTATGTATCACATAAAAGGTGGCGGTCCCTTTGCAGCAATCCTTCACTCCATACTCTCTGCACCCTGCCCCATCGATAACTTCTTAGGCAGCCCCATAATGCCTATATACTCGCCCGCCTATTGGTGTGACTACACAAACCTTCTGGACAGTTTGCGAGCAGTCCTCAATTTCTATGATCCCAGAACCCAGGACTCCTGACCCGTTAGACTAAATTCCTGATTTTCTGCCGAGTCTGACTTTTTTTTTTTTTGAGAAATCGATGCGCACACCCACAAGGTAATCACAAGTTTTTTAATCAGGGGTTGTTTCAAAATCAAGCGTACATATCGCTTCAATCACCTGATGAGTGACCCCCCTCTATGTGGGCAGATCTCAAAATTAGGGATTTCCTGAGCCAACCAGCTTTCCAAAAGAATTACGGCAGAGAGCCAGCTTTGTTTCAATCTATTTGCCTCTTGGGTACACCAGAGACATCTTACATCTGCCACCTATACGACCACTCATCTTTACATACTGGAAAATACGAGAAATGGAGCTGAGGGTACACCTTGAAGAGGAATGTATAACCTCATACACAAGGCCTCCCTAAAATATTATCCAAGAAAAGGACTACAAATGATGTAAACACTTGTATACAATGCCTGCCTTCTCTCCTTCATAAATACTACTCTTCACTACCAAAACACCACTGGCATTCTTTAGTGGAAGAAGGTAATCTTCATGTGTGGTGGCTATACCCCATGATTCAACCATACTGGCAAAAAGTGCACCAGATCATTGGGGAAGTCACCATTTATACCCAATACCTGCTGCATCATATATCCCGGGCAGCACAGTGGCTAAATGGTTAGCATTTCCGCCTGGCAGTACTAGAGTTGTTGGTTCGAATCCTAACCACGACACCACCTGCCTGGAGTTTGCATGTTCTCCCTGTGCCTGCGTGGGTTTCCCCCAGGTACTCCGGTTTCCTCCCACACTACAAAAGACATGCTGGTATGTTAATTGGATCCTGTCTAAATTGGCCCTAATATGTGTATGTATGAATGTAAGTTAGATTGTACGCCCCTCAAGGGTTAAGGACTGATGTGAATGTACAATATATATGTAAAGCGCTGCGTAAATTGATGGCGCTATATAAGTACCTGAAATAAATAAATATCCCTAACAAGCACTATTGGAAATCCCTGGCCATGCACATGGCAAATGCAGTCAGAATGCGTGTTCCCACACATTGGAGGAAAACATCGATACCTTCCTTAAAAGAGCTGTTCATTAGGTTAGGTTGCAAAAATGTATGTACTGAGTTAAACTACACAAGACAAACTTACAGAAATTCTTCAAGAATTGGGCATGCCTCAAAATCAAAGTCTGATTATGCCAACATTATTTCCCAATGAGGGTAGACCCTCTTTGCCCTAACGGATTCCTTCCTCTACTGCTCCATCTAATAGAGCACAAGCTTTAATACGACCGGCGATGGGGGATCCCTGGTGGATTGGGGGAGCCCCGCCCCCCGTTTCTACACCCCATTATAATATTATGGGGGAAAAAAAAAAAAACCACACATGCAGCATTCAATATATTAGTCCTGGCAGCCATGAGCCACTTTTTAAAATGGTGCATCTAAATGTTTCAAAGAAGCAGCTTATCAATGTAGGTTTATTGTTGACCATATATACCTCATAGCCTTTATGACTGCTGTGGCTTACCTCCCTTTACTGCCCTACTGTACTGTTAGCACATGTGAAATACTTCAAGAACACAGAGCAGAATCTCATTTAATCCAGTCACGCATTTATTATATTGGCTATTAAATGTATATTACGGCCTTTGACACAGTCGACCACCCCCTCCTCCTCAAAAAACTACACTCCCTCGGCCTCAGAGATTCTGCTCTCTCCTGGCTCTCATCCTACCTGTCACAACGCTCTTTCAGCATTGCCTATAATGCTACCACCTCCCCCTCACTCCCCCTCTCTGTTGGGGTCCCTCAAGGCTCTGTCCTCGGGCCCCTTCTTTCCTCCATCTACACCTCCTCCCTTGGCCAACTCATACACTCTCAGGGCTTCAACTACCACCTCAATGCAGACAACACACAAATCTCTCAACCCCCCACCTCACCCCCTCAGTCTCCGCCCGAATCACACACCTACTGAGCGACATATCAGACTGGATGTCGCTCCAATTCCTTAAACTGAACCTCTCCAAAACCGAGTTTCTTGTCTTTTCCCCAGCCCGGACACCACCCCCCAATGACTTCTCCATCACATCCAACAACACCACCATCAAACCCGCCCTGCAGGCCAGAGTACTTGGTTTCATTCTGGACTCCAACCTATCCTTTCAGCCCCAAGTCCAATCTTTAACAAACTCGTGCAGACTCCACCTCCTGGCCTGCCTCGCCGCTGGTTATCCCCGCTTCAGTCGATCCTGAATACGGCTGCCAGACTCATTCACCTTTCCAACCGCTCCGTTTCCGCCACCCCCCTCTGCCAATCCCTCCACTGGCATCCGATTGCGCAACGGATCAAATTCAGAATCCTAACACTGACGTACAAAGCTGTCCACCATACTGCCCCGAACTACATCACTGACCTAATATCCAAGTACCACCCAACATGCACACTCCGCTCCTCACAAGACCTCCTTCTCTCTAGTTCCCTGGTCTCCTCCTCCCATGCCCGCCTCCAGGACTTCTCCAGGGTGTCACCCATCCTCTGGAGCTCCCTTCCCCAACCCATCAGATTATCACCTACTCTCCTCTCCTTTAGGCGCACCCTGAAAACCCATCTCTTCAGGGAAGCCTACCCCACCCCCTGCTAACCTGCCGACCTCCTCCACTCTTTCTACCACTCCATCCCCCACAGCTATCTCCTCCTGTGCCACCACCCCCTCCCTCCTAGATTGTAAGCTTGAAAGAGCAGGGCCCTCGATCCCCTCATGTTTTGCATTGTATTGTTATTGTTCTGTCACATGTTCTGTCCCCCTTTGTAATGTACAGCGCTGAGCGAATTATTGGCGCTTTATAAATACTGTATTATTATAATAATAATAATAATATTACAAATAAGTGCCTGAATTCTATATTAGCTTTCCATAATCTATTACACAACAGAATTCAGACTGTAAGAATAAAGGGCAGCACAGCAAGCCAATAAGGGCTTTACTACATTGTGCTGTGCTGTCAGACTAACACTAAGAGTTTGCTGACAGGAGGAAAATGAAGAGTGATAGTCACATCAGCAGGCTGATGAATTATTAAGTGAAGTCTTGCTAACCCGGTCTGGAAAGCGGTGCTTGAACTCCAAGACTGGCTAAACTGAATCTCAAATCATTTGGCAATGAAGACATTTCTCATACGCATTCCAGTAGTCTTTTCAGATACCAGCCTGGAGGTCAGCTATATAGAACTGCACCTTTGGTACCTAGTGGCTAAACTACAACTATCATAAGAATGATTTTAAAAAGAAAACCCTCCCCTGTGATTCTGCACAAAGCAACATTTTCACAAAAATCCTGGAGAACTTTCTTGACCAACATTACAGGATGTGTTAAAAATTGCAGTGGCAAATCTGTAGATTATTTTGAATGATGCAATTCCATAGGTTTGTGTTACAAATGATATAGAAAAAAAAAAAAAAAAAATAATCTACATAAATAAAAAATTTAAAAAAAACATGCTCTCTGTAAAGCAACATTTTCCTTTTGAGTTACCTGGGATACTTGTTGGTGGCTCCGGAGGAAGAGCCGGTGCACCTTCAACCTTGTCCTTTTCAGCCAATTTAGAGGCTGCTTGAGTTTTATTTTGGGGTGCAGACCCCTCCTCTTCCTCATCCACATCAGGAAACTCCCACTGCGACTCTCCTGAGATTTCGTTAACATAGAAATAACGCCTATGATTCCTGAATCACAAAAACAGACAAAAATCTTAAATATTCACCCCTCGGATATTTGCCCAATAAGGTCCTCACTCCTACAGCTGTAATCAGCCAAAAGGAGAGAACCTGACAAAAATTCTCAACTTTTAATGAAAAATGCCATCCTAAGATTGACTGGCATCAGTTTGCAGAGCAACTTTATGAAACTCTGAACACAGATCAAATTAAGATAACAAATTGCTTAAATGCCTAATACAGCTGGGGATGGTTGACACCACCATTCTGGGAATAAGTTCAAATATGATATCCGCGGGAATAAAATAGGTATGTGTATATATTTTGAGAGCTGAAAGATAAGAGAGCAAAGATCTTCAATTAAAGCACAAAGTACAAAAAACTAAACAAAAATAATAAAAGACAAGTATAAAAAAGAAATAATTTTGGTCTGACCTGTATCACGGGACCTTTCTTGTTCTTCGCTGTCACCCTTGGGGCCATGAAGCTTGTCGGAACTTCACTGGTGTAAGACGGGAAAGGATAGGGATCCAGATCCTGAAATGGTCACAGAGCTCGCGCATGCGCATCCCCCTGTCCCTGCCCCATCAGCGCACTTGGCACTGGGAGTGAGTTCTAACCAACCTTTTTTTGTCCTCTCAGGAAAGGCTTTACATGGACAATATGCATACACAGCTATGAAAAAAAAAACTTAAGTTTCTCCAATGTGCAGGCCCAAGCGCTCACTGTGCTCCAGGGATCTGCCCACCCAGAACCTAAAAGTGCGGCCGTGTTCAGTCTCCAGACAGATGAGGTCACGAGGTCAGGTGGTGATGTCACAAGTCATGTTTTGAGATGTGAAAGGTGAAAATTGGGGAAGATTCGTACCTGTCCCAGTGGCAGGACCAGCCTTTAGGGGTGGCGTTAATTTCATACTGTTTTATTTGTTCAGATGCGTCTTGCAATTTACGTTTCAGATAGATTCCGCTGAGCGCTCCTTCCCTCCAATCTGAGATCCGAGTCTGTTGGAGATACCAAAGAATGAAATGTAAACAGCTGAGAAATTTCAGCACAGTGGACTAGGGTTCAATACCCTTCCAAAATACAGTCTGGGTTTTTCCTCCCTAGTGTACCAGCTGCCTCCTACGAACCACATTTTCTATGAACGCCAGTTATAGTGGAAATCCTTTCCTACTTTCCACCCCCAGACAAGAGCCATCCTTCAGTTTGCTTCACATGGACTGGAAGTTACTGGCTTGACTTGCAATATGACTGTTTGGTAACCACTTTTACTAAAACATAACCCCATAGTGACAATGTTGGACAAGACTGAACACTCACCTCAGTCTGAAACAGCAGCACATGGAAGTTGGACACGGCTTGCCTGTTTATGCCCAAAAACTCCAGTTTACTGATTAGACTATTAGCCAGCTCTCCAATCTGGAACTGCACAAAAAAAAAAATGTTTGTTGCTGCAATAGTGAGTTTGTTAAACATAAACCGTACACTCTGTGCAAGAAAGCCAAATACAAAAGGGTTGATGAGAACCATGGCAAATCACTCTCACATCCAATACTTGTACCATGTTGCACATTTACTCTGTAACAGCCTACTTTGGACATTTAGGCATTTCATTAATATGGAATCAAGCGCTCACCGGAAGTATGGCATAAAACATAACACACATATTCACTAGTCACCTTACCATATACTCAGCCACTGTATCCACCTTTCTGCCACTTATCTCCTAATTTCTTGTTACCATAACTTTCTTCTGCACCACTCTTCCTATTTGTGCCACAAGATCCCATTAAGCACTCTAACTTCACTCAGATATATAGCAGCTGCATGGCAAGTCTAGAATATATCATTTTTTTATATATAATCACTATACATTTCTTTTTACCCACTTCAAGTCTGGACGCTTTCCCCTCCTTCCAGTCCAGGCCAATTTTCAGCTTTCAGTGCTATCACACTTTGAATGACATTTGCGTGGTCATGCAACACTGTACCCATATGAAATTTAGCATTTTTTTGAGATAGATAAAACTTTATTTTGGTGGTATTCATTCACCACTGTGATTTTTATTTTTTTTCTTATAAAATTTTGCAAATAAATAATCTTTTCTTCATAAATCTTGGCCAAAACATATTCAGCCATCTTTTTAGTAAAAAAAACAAAAACAAATTAGTTTATAACCAAAAATTATAATTTCTCTAAAAAAATTTTTTACATTTTTATTTTTTTTTAATAATATTTATTTATTTTTTTAACATACCGTCACCCTAGCAGTACAGTGTCACCATAGTGACACTGCAATACTTGTGGGGGGTGATGAAGATTATTATTTTTTTTTTTACACTGATTGCTTTTACACCTATAAAGGCTGTAAAAGCAATTATTTCTCCTTCTCTCTGGTTGCATTCTTGCAGCCATTGAGAAATACTGTGAGAGCTGGGATTGGTCACAGCTTGTCACATGGTACAAGGCTGTTGTGAATAGCCTTGTACCATGTGACCTCTGGGATCATTCACAGAATTCACAAGTAGTAAGCAATGATGTCAGAAGTGACATCTTGTTTACTACTATTCATGTGATCACTGATTGGCCAATCAGTGACCACGATTGAGACCTCACACAGAGGTCCCGTACAGCAATCTGTGTTTCGCTGTGTCCTCCGGACACAGTGGGCAGTGCATCGTGGTGCCGCACACTCCCAGGGAGCGTGCACAGGCATTTAATGCGGGGCCCGTTTATAAACGGCCACCCACTTCGGCACTGCCTCCGTCCAGCCGTTTACGTACATGGGCCAGACAGGAAGTGGTTAAACTCTGAAGACATAATTATGAAATCTGCAAATGATTACTTGCAAATTAGAAGGCTGACATTCTGTTCCTTGCTTCACTTCTAAGTCACTGACGTCAAAGTCAGATGTCCTGATACTTTACTGCTTGTGCTGAGTGAGCAGCTCATCAAGTTATAAAAAGTCTACAATGGCAGCTCCCACAGTCCTATCCCAACAGGTTCCATTTAGGAACTTATTTTCCTTCTTTATCATCCCATGTTCCCCATTACAAAGCAAGCTCATTTACTGTACATATCCTACTATAAAGCTTTGGAGGGTAAGTTGGCACGATCAAATATAACAAAATTCTTAAACAAATCACCCAACTTATGGGGTACAAAAAAAAAAAAACCAACTAAAGCTGTAACAAGCATTAAAGCACCACAAGAGGACTCAACAATTACCTTCAGATCATCATCTTCCCCATCTTCTTGCTTTGGAGTGGCTTTCACTGGTGCAGGGTCACTTTCTGGCTCTATTGGAGTAGCTGGACACTCTGCAGCTTCGGCCCCCATTTCTGAAGGAAAGCGACAAAGAATTATAAATAAAATAGACAAGATAAAGAAAAGAATCAAATTGTAGAGGTGGGAACTACATTCAAGAAGGATCTTTTAATTTTCCATGCAGCTGCAAACTGTCTCACCGGTCTCTGGTGTTTCCCGGCCAGTCTTGGAGGAGCTGTGGCTGGTTGACTCAGGGCTGGCAGATGGAACAAACACCTTCCACTTGCTAGAGACAGGCTTCGCTTTCTGAACTTCATCCGATTGGCTGAAGTCAGAGCGTGGGCTGGACCCAGAAAGACTGACATCGCCTTCTTCCAGTGCTCGCAGCTCAGCCTGTTAAAGAGAAATAATAGATTAAAAAAATATTGCCACCGAATAGGATGCCAACCAAAGCTGTAAGGGAATTATACAATAAATTACACACTAGAGACACTGACTGGTGCCAACTGAATCAGTTGCGATCAGTCTTAGGCACCTACATGGACTACACTAGCTCTATCCTGTTTCTGTGGTCCTGATACAGTAGTGTGAGAGTGGTCATCCTACAACTAGAAGCGAGTTACTGGCAGATACAAAGTGGAAATGTTAAAAAAAAAATAAAACACAAAAAAAAACAAAAACAAACCAAACAAACACACACACTTGAGGAAAGAAAACTACTGCAGTTGCCACATCTGGTAACCTGCAATACATTACATTTTGTTTTCAGGTTTGGCTAGGCTTTTAGCAGGGCTTGTTATCTTACTACCACTGTCCTTTACTGAACACATGTCCTGATGCAAGACAGCAGTCTCAGAGAAATCTTCTCTAGAACAAGCATGCTGTCTAATTTGTCAGGAAACTTCTCAGAGATGCGCTTTGCTTCATAGATTACTTTTTAATATACAAGGATATACCTTTCTTTCTCTCCAGCACCCTCTCCAGTTCCAGAGTATCCTGCTCCTCTCCTTCTTCCTCGCTCTCTCCAGACTGCACAGTGCTGCAGACATCTTCCTGGACCTGTTCGTCAGCAGCCACCTCGCTATCAGTGCAGACAGCAGCCATGTCTTCATCCTCCTCACAGGCAGGCTCAACCACATCCTCTTTACATATGACTCGTCGCCTCCAGCGATCCTCCTCCTCTTTAACAGCATCTGGTAACAGTGGGGCGAGCAGAGATGCCGCCACACCCACTTTTTCCTCCTCTTTGTTGGAAAGAGCTTGGATTCCATCATTCAACTCCTAAAATACAAAAGTCTGTTTATTGTACATCAGGATAAATGATCTATTCTGCATAAAAATAAAGTCATGATAATTTTCCCTGGAAATGGACAGATGTCAACAATTCAAAAAAAAAAAAAAAAAATATGTTTAGCCTCAACTCTCTGAGCTAGCAGTGAGTCCATTTCTGCCACCAGGGAAAGGGCAGACAAGGGTGGGCATGCATCCCTTAAAAAGCATTACATTTGATTGTAAAAAGCATTCAAACATAAAAAAAAAAACAAATAAAAAAAAACAAAACAAAAATGGTAATTCTTAGAAATAATGACTATACTGTATACAAAAAAGTATAGGTAAAACTTTGGAGATGGATTAGAACACTTGTCAGTTTTTGTTGCTGTCTGTGCCCCTGTTAAATAGATTCACCCTCTCTACTTGTCCTATTTACCATTATCGTTGAATATCATCAGTGAAATTTTGGGTTGTCCCCAGAAAAATATTAGAAGGGAAATGTGGGCAATAGTTCTGGTAACCTGGGGGTCCACAAAGAATACCTTTAATTTGCAGGGATTTCCCCTCACTTCCCATTTGGCCATGGGACAGGAAGTGAAATCTACATAATGGGACGCAGAAGGTGAAAAAAAAAAAAAAATCTGAGGGGTGTTATAAGCCTCCCTTGCTCTATCCAAAATGAAGGAAAAAAAAAAAAAGGTTTTGCCTATAGTTCTACCTTTTTTTTTTTTTTTTTCAATCAGATCTTTTTTATTAGATATTTTAACACTTTGGTTTTTTTTTTTAACAAACGCGTGACAAACTACAGACAGATCAAATAACATTGGTCATACAGTGACAAATCCGCAATGAGTAAATAACACATACGTCCCAGGCCATAGACATACAGGCATTGCCACTATAGTTCTACTTTAAAGAAAATCTTGTTTAACCACTTCCTGACCGCCCTATAGCAGATATACTGCTACAGGGCAGCACAGGTGCGCAAAATCACGTATATATACACACACGTGATTTTTCATTTCTGGGTAGAGGGCACGTGCCCTACCCGTACCGCCAAGTGCAGCCACGGCTGTCAGTTACCTGGTTCCTGCCCGGTGATTGCCGAGCATCTCCGACGGGAAGAACTGTTTGTAAACCAAACAGTTCTCCGCCCTGTCAGCTCGTGCACACCGCTTTGGATGGCTGTGAACAGCTTTCCAAAGCAGTGTGTGCTTACAGCGAAGCACATGGATACAGCCCAATGTAAATCTAAACTTATGACGAAATTTAATTTTTTTAAATTCTTTACTGGACATGTTTAATAACAAAAAGTCAAAGATATTAAATAGTTAAAGTGAACTTGTGTTGTTCCCTTACATTTGATAAAACAGCCCAAGAAGGCATCTTCAGGTCCATTTACCAAATGATTCTGTGTTGCCTAGGGTACCCCCTTTCTTCTGAATGTACTAAATCACAGTTCCCCAACTTTTGCGCTCTGTGAAGTGAAATGCGATCCAGGATCAGTGGGCATCCTGCATGCATGCAAGATAATTTGATTTAAAAGAAAACAATGTTAGTATGAGTGTGATATGCGTTTTTGTCTAAAATACTTTTGGACTCAGAGACGGATCTGAATTGCATTCTGTAAAGTGCTGTGGAATTTCAGCATTAAATATATACAAGTAAAATGTGACAAAAATACTTGCAGGCATCTTGGAATTTCTACTCTAAGGCTTTACAATGACTTATAAACCTAAACACATGACCACATACCTTCTTTGGCTCCTTTTTGGGAAGCACTGGCACGCTGCTGGCAGCCAAGCCCAAATTATCTTCCTTTACCTCTGGAACAGACTCGGAGGATGTAACCACATTGGAAAAGTCTGAAGACTCACTACTGAAAACAACAACATGTCATTATAGCTTACATTTAGTATACAGCAGGAAGGACAAAAATCACCAAAATGAGGGCCTCACCTGTTTGTATATCCTTGGGCCCCCTGTACTTGGGAAGCCAGACTTTCAGGCAGCTCCCAGGTCACTTCATTGGTCTGAGTATTCCAGTAGTAATAACAGCCGGTGTTCTCATCCCACACTTCTGCCAGTCTCCCATGTCCACTCCAGCTACAGGAACACACATTAGAAATCAATTACATCTAGACTCTAGTATGCCCACTGAGCTGATACCGTCTGTTACTAGATTACTTTATATAGCATGAAAATTGATAGCACAGAAATTAATATCGCCTAGTCCACCTTCTGCAACAGAGTGGAAATCTCAAGTTAATATCGTTATCTCCTGGAAAAACGTATATTTCAACATACTGCTTGAGGTGATTGTAGCCGTATTAGTGCATTTGCGACAGGAACAAATGAGTACCGTCCGTGATCCTTTTTTTATTTGCACTAACATACAATTTTGAGTACAAGCTTTCAGGGAATGTCCCCATCTTCTTCAGGAGTACTGCTTAGACCTGAAGAGGGGGACATTCCCCGAAAGCTTGTCCTTAAATTGTATGTTAGTGCAAATAAAAAAAAAAGTATCACGGACAGTACTCAATTGTTCATATTTCAACATAGAAACTGTATTAGAAAATTTGAGGTTGTGTGGGGCCCATGGCTGGCAATCCCTGGTCTGGCTACACACCATATGATTGCAAGTCGATTATTTTCTCTATAATTATGTAAGACCCTTCATCTCTAAAATGTGATGACTGGATTTTCTTTGTTCCGAGAGGGGATGGGTGCAGCTGGAGACATTAGGAAGAAAATATACTACTTGGTCAACTTGCATTAGTTTATCGATTCATTTGCTAGAAGTCATATATCCACATGATGTGGATTTTTTTTTTTTTACTGTATGATTACTGTCTTTGTACTACTGTAGTGTGCTGCGCACATGTTGTGCGTTTGTCTGTGTGTCTGTTGTGGTAAATAAAACATTTGTCTTTTTACACTAAAAATAAAGATCTGATTTAAAAAAAAAAAGAAATCAAATTACATTTAAAAAAGTCTACATAGAAAAAGTAAGCCCAGAAGCATTTATATTCTTACCTCCAGCGAGAGAACAATGAGTGTCGTAATGCCATATTTCCCCTGTGGCATTGGGATCCGCTCCATTATGAGAACCAGAGGTCACACTGTGAGAATCTTTTGGATCTGGCTTTGGAGGAGTTGGTGGAGGAGCTGTAGAATTGGCTGTATCTTCCCCTCCAGATGATGCAGGAGCTGTGATAGCATCTATCTCCTGATAAAAAAAAAAAAAACCTTTAGGATATCAAAAAACAAATACAAAGAGGATTGCAATGTATGGACTATACATTGTGTCAGATAGGTCAGTGATCACATACAATCTGAAGGCACCACTAAGCAAAAATGGTTTCAGCTCGTACAGGCCACTTACAGCCTGAAGATGTCAGTATGCCTCATTTCAACACTTGTCTAATAAAATTTCGGTAATTAAAAAAAGTTACTTTTTTTTAAAATTAATCTTTCTATAGCTACAGTGTCAATGACCTCCGGGAACAAAAGGGTTCAGTGGGAAGGTGAAAATATTTTACAGTTGCTTGGCTTCTAGCTGTTTTGACGGAGTCTGCCAGACATCTTTATTGATACCGGCAGGTGGTTAAGCTATTTTTTTTTTCTTTGGTTAGGAAAAATGAATGGGGATATGATGGGGGGGGGGGGGGGGGGGGGGGGGGGGGAGGGGGGGGGGGGGGGGGGGGGGGGGGGGGGCCATGGGAAAGAGAAGAAAAAGTGTGACCAGTCCACAAGTGGACGAGAGGTGGGAGGGTCGAGGAAGCACAGCATTCCTCCGCTCCAACTTTAGTAAAGCTATTTAGGTTCACAGTGGCGGTCATAAAACACCACTAGCCAACCAAAAGAAACAATCAGGTCTTGGAAATGTAATGGGTCTCCAGGGGCAACAAATAAAAGCCATGCAGCTCTATGCAGTACAAGAGTACTTGCTGAGTAGTCCGTGGGGGGCATCTCTGCCGATCAAAAGGGGTGCAGGTTGAGGCAAAAGTAGAGGTTTCACTGCGACTGGATAATCTTTAAATAAGATCTACAGGTTAATAAAGTAATTCAGTAATATGTTGAGTAGAATATGAAAGGATAAGTTCATGATTGGAACATGTCGCACCCTAATAACAAGTTCCAGCTCCTGCACCTCCGATCCCCTCCTCCCTGTGACATCGGGGCACCGCACACACAAACACATTCATTCAGTGCCGGTTCACACTGATGCGGTTTCACGGTGAGATTTCTGCTGCGACAGGTGTGAATTGAATGTGATTTCTGAGAGGACTGGGCATAGCAGAAGATGAAATTCGCACCATATCCGCACTAAACTCATACAGGACTCTTTTTTGGAATGGATCAAATTCGCACTGCCTATATGTGAACTACCTGCATTGGACATCATGCTTCTGTAGATTACATGCAAATCTATGCTTTTTGGATCACATCTAATCTGCACAGAGTTTGCATGTGAACTGGCACTCACAGAGTTCTGAGAATGAAAGAACTTCAAGTACCAGCGGCCGCCAGCTCGTAGTTCTCAATGAACTGCAAGGGTGCTGGTGAACACTCCTGTAGTTCACAGATTCTTCCTGCCTGCCTGTATGGGAGGTATTGGCAGACAGCTGGCCAAGTGTCTGCAAGAACCTGGCACTGCACCAGCAATCTGCTGATCATGGATTCAATGTTTTTGCTTGCTGCAGAGTAAGCCCGGGGTTCACACTGATGCGGTGCGAAATTTACACCGGTTTCTGTGCGATTTCCACACTGCATCATAAATCACACCCCGTTCACACGAACCACTGCGGGTGTGTATTTTAAGTTAACAACACCCCGAAATCAGTTCGCAAAACGCAGTGCGATATACAGAATTGGATCGCAAGGATGTGAACACCTATGCGATCCGATTCTAATGTGGACCAAAAAAAGGGTCCTGCACCTTTCTGGTGGGAATGCAGTGCGATTTGAGCGTTACATAATGTATGGCTCAAATCGCACCACACAGAATCCACATGTGATTTGCACAGGAACGCGGTGTGGTTCCTGTGCAAATCACATGCAGTGTGCAGCACCGCACAAGTGTGAACCCAGGCTAAAAAAAAATAAGTGCATGATTTTTTTTTTTTACCTGCAAACAGATGTGCATTAATTTATTTAGTTATTTCACAAAAAGTAAACTTATCCTTTAGTTTATCTGTGATAACACAATATTGTGCCTATAACACAAAATCACACAGTGCAATACATTTACAAGACAAGCGTGAGCTGGGCATTTCCTGAAGTATAAGTGTCCCATATCAATTGGTGCATATCTGTATCAAAAAAACTTTCAGAAAAAAAACAACAAAAAGTCCCTTGTGGTGAGAAATAAGAACTCCAAATAATTTTTCTAGCCTTCCACCTTTCACCCGTGCACACCAACATCAATTGCACTCACCAGATTTTGGTGAATGAAAAGCCTTTAAGGATTCTATGGGGAATCCTAAACCCTCTTTTCATCAGCTCAATGATAGCCTCCCCAAGATAAGATCTTGAGAACGCCCGATGGGAGGGGCGAAACACGTTGACGCATTTCTGGTCCATTCGCCTTATGTCTGACGTCACTTCCGGTGAGTGGAACGCACGCCGTGCGGTGCATTACAGCGGCCATTTTGTGGGATTTAGGCTGGTTCTCTGCTGTTCCTCTGCTCCATCTGGCTACATTGGTGTGGGAACCCTGGAGTATGTGGCTGGTTTTGATCATCAGGATGTCATGGGCTTAATAAATGTGCTTTTACAAGCTATTGAAATGTGAGTGGCCTGGATTCTGTTCGTTATGGTATATGATTGATTTGGCAATATTACACTATGTAAGCTTTTTTCTTTGATGATACGGTGGAGCAAACTAGGAAGCCACGGTGAGGACCTGAAAGAGGATCTTATCTTGGGGAGGCTATCATTGAGCTGATGAAAAGAGGGTTTAGGATTCTACATAAAATCCTTAAAGGCTTTTCATTCACCAAAATCTGGTGAATGCAATTGATGTTGGTGTGCACGGGTGAAAGGTGGAAGGCTAGAAAAATTATTTGGAGTTCTTTTTTCTCACCACAAGGGACTTTTTGGTGTTTTTTTTTTTCTAAAAGTTTTTTTTGATACAGATATGCACCACTTATGGGACACTTATATTTTGTGATTGATTAATACTTGATTTTAGGTCTATTTTGTGCTGTTTATTTATATATTTCACTGTTTGTGTATTCACATTTTTTGCACAGCAGCAATTTAGAAGGGTGATTCACTTAAGTTGTATTGGCGCAGGAATATTTTTTTTTTTATTTCCTGAAGTATGTGTTTCTATCTGAAGTACAAATTAATAATTAAAAGTATATTTTAGTAAGGTAAAGGTTTTGTAAATGGCAATAATTGATTGATTCTCTGCATCTGTGGATATTGGTTGACAGTTAGCCACTGCACTAATAGTTCCCTACCACATTCCCTTCTACCGATTAATACCTTTCAGCCGCAAGGAAGTAATTCTCAATGCTAAATGCAAGTATTCCTACAGCTCTTAATCAAATAAAGAAACAAGTGCAAATACCTGGAAATGAACGCTTTAAAAAGACCCCGACCCTTCCTAGATGGAACAACTTTGAAACATGTTGCATATCAGTGCTCAATGTGCGTATGCATCCATCCATCACAGAAGTATTAAGTTACTGCAAGCTAACCACGCATAAATTATCTTACCGCAAGAAAGTTGGCCAGAGTACTGTCAATGTCAGCAGATGAATTTGCTTTTGTAGCCGGAGTAGGTTTGGACTTCTCGGACAAGTCTCCTTCTTCATCATCGCTGTCTGTATATGCCCCAAGCAGACAAAGACCACCTATAGATATAGAACAGCTTAGACTGATTACATAGTCAGAGCATATTAAATAAACCTGTTATGCTGACTGCTTTTATCATTCATCCCCCTCTTTAGAGAGGCCTCCCACAATTTATCAAGCAAGTATCTAATTGATGGGAATGCATTTTTGAATGTGATTTTCACTTTTCTGTTTCTTTCCATGATCAATTATTTTTAACTTTGTCAAAGAAAAAACCTGCATGTTACAATGGAACATAAAGTAATTACATTTTATACAGTAGATATACATAGGAAACGATGTTCATATTATGGCAAAAATAAGTACTCTGCAAACTGATAAATTATTTGGCATAACTAGAAAAGATAAGAAATATGTCATTTCACACCTTGCTAGTTGTTTCTTTCTTTTGCAAAGGCACAAGAGACTCACCATAAAGCCTACCTACACCCAAGGACAAAAACCTAATACATCATCTTTCAGGCTAACAGGATTTTTAGTAGGTACAGAAAATAACTGCTAATATTGGCACAACCAGTGTCCTTGTAGCTTTCTGTGAATCACAAACAATGTTCTCTTTCTGCCCAGCTAACTTGTTAACTACAAATGTTGCAGCCCGAGTAATGAAGATATGTTTGTAGTGAAATACATATTTGTAATGAGGAGAGTAGCCTAGTGAGACTAATATGGCTTTTTTCATAGATAAAGAGTGACCATAGAAATACTAGGACAGGAAGTGTGTCATTTTCAGGATTAAAATGAAAATAAAATGTAAAAAGTCTGAAAAAAAGCAATCCAATGCAGGACTGGTAAGCTGCATATTAATACATTTTGTTTGGGGGATTGGATATACTTTAAGGTTCTACAGTAAACGAAGAGTGTAAATGTGTGGTTTCAGATAGGGAGGGGGGTGAACAAATAGGAGGGAGGTAGGGGAGCAGAAAAAAAGGTAATGGTTTGGCTGTGGGTACAGTAGGAAAGAGGGTATTCCTGTCTGGGGACTCTCTTACTTCTTCCTCCATTGACTTTTTGGAAAAGCCAAGCCTAGAAAAAGATTTTCAACTCTTCCCGATAGAATTTACCTGCAGGTTCACAGATCTCTGCACATGCTGGAATGATCTAAAAGAAAGAATCCCTCCCTTGCATGCATTTTGGATGTATGTAAATGCTCTTAAAGTGGAAATGCACAGCATTTGAGCACCAAAAACTAAAAATGCTATTTAATTCATTGTTAATATTCAAAGCAAACTCCCCCATTCATCCATGTCTCCATGCTTTATTTTGAGTCATTTTGAAAAGCACCCCCTATCATTTCTGGCAGTGGCCACCTTGAGTAAGGGCAGATGATTCATGTAGCATTTACTTCCTGGAATCCATCTGCCCCTAGCTAAGGCATTGGCTGAGCCGAGAGCTCTCCCCTCCTGAAGACATCATTTGCCTAGGCCTGGAAACCAGGAAGTAAAAAAAAAAAAAAGTTTAAAATAAGTAACTGAGATATACTTTCCTATCTATTTGCTAATGCTAGCAACATAAGGATTCAAAATAGTCCATGTTTATTAAAGTGGAGCTTTACTCTCTCAAAGGATAAGTTCACCTTTTAGAAAAAAAATAATAAATGCACTTTTTTTGCAGGTAAAAAAAAAATGTGCATTTATTATTTTTGTCTGCAGGATCCTGGAAAGCCTTGATCAGTAGATCGTTGATATCATACAAGTCTCCTGCAGACCTGTCAGAATATCTGCTTACTGTACGGGATGTACAAGCAAGCAGATATTCTGACAGGAAGAATGAACTACCACGGGGCTCCACAGTGCCATGGTAGTTCATTGAAGACTACAAGCTGACAGCTGCTAAGGCTGTCGTGACATGTAGTCTCTCATTCACAGATGACTGAATGAGTGACGCGGCCATGTGGGCAGAGTTTTTTAAATTAATTAATTTCTTTCTTTCAGGTACTTATATAGCTCCATCAATTTACGCAGTGCTTTACATAAACATATTGTACATTCACATCAGTCCCTAACCCTCAAGGAGTGTACAATCTAAGGTCCCTAACTCACATTCATTCATAGGGACAATTTACCTCTATTTATCCAATTAACCTCTCAGCATGTCTTTGGATTGTGGGAGGAAACTGGAGTACCCGGAGGAAACCCACGCAGGCACAGGTAGAACATGCAAACTCCAGGCAGGTGGTGCTGTGGTTGGGATTCGAACCTACAACACTAGTACTGCCAGGCAGAAGTGCTAACCACTTAGCCACTGTGCTGCCCATAATTAGATTGACAGCTAGAGAGGGGAGAAGACCCCGCTAGCTGTCAAAACGGGGTCCGGTCCGAACGTAACATGTTACACCCTAAATATGCGTGTAACATGTTACAAAAGGTGAACTTATCCTTTAAGTTTGCTCACAACTGGCCAAGCACATATGTAAAGTGATGCTGAAGAAGCATTTTTAATACAACCCCAGAAAACACTGTAGCCCCTATCCTCATCAGTTCATCTATTTTGGTATATGCTTTCAGGCACAATGATTATTATTATTATATAGCGCCAATAGTTTGCTCAGCGCTTGTACAATATAACAGGAGACAATACAGCAACAATACAGTTCAATACAAGAGGATTAGGAGGGCCCTGATCCTTGGAGCTTACAATCTAAGAAGCATTATTGTGTATAGAAAATGAGTTTTTAGGTTACTGGCATTAAACCAAAACCTAACCACCACTATTGTGCCAGGTATCAAATGATGGGCATCTTACCTGTAGGCTTTACCACTGGAGGCTGGACTTCTGGGATCATTCCTGTGGCGGGAGGAGCTATCACCTTCTGGGAATCTGTATCATCTGTCCATGGAAAAAAGACAAGTGAATACACTTACCATAACGGATTCAGTAATAACATGACACACAGATATCCTCAAATAACCAGAGGCCAGGCTCATTTGAGTTGTTTTCTGTGAAAAGCTACCCATATGAGTGGCGCTGGATCAAACGGTGTCTGGTGATGCTGTCACTTACTTCCATTCATTGGCTTTTAAAATCGGCTGCTAACAAAGATAGGATGCCCCCCAAATTAGGACATATGTAGCCATGGATACACTAAGATGTAGCAACACCAAATATGAAGTCAGAAATCAAAACATTTTGGCCTTTCATTTGCCTAAATACAAAATGTTTTGAGGTCCACACCTCAAACGTATCCTGGTCACCAAACAGGAAGTGAGATATGCAGACAGCAGAAAAAAAAAAAAAAAAAAAAAGTAAATCTCACCCATACCAACTTTATTTAACCACCTCCCGTCTGGCCGTTGTATATGAACGATCGGACAGTGACAGTGCAGGTGGCCGTTTATAAACGGCCTCCCTGCCACCTGCTTGTGCGCGCTCCCTGGAAGCGCGCAGCACTGCGATCCGATGCCCGCTGTGTCCTCCAGACCAGAGGAACACCGATCGTCGTATGGGACCTCTAGACGAGGTCCCGATCATGTGATCACTGATTGCCCAATCAGTGATCACATGCAAAGTAGTAAGCAAGATGTCACTTCGGACATCATTGCTTACTACGTGTGAAATCTGTGAATGATCACAGAGGTCACATGGTACAAGGCTATTCACAACAGCCTTGGACCATGTGACAAGCTGTGACCAATCACAGGTAACACAGTATTTCTATTTCTCAATGGCTGCAAGAATGCAGCCAGAGAGAAGGAGAAATGATTGCTTTTACAGCCTTTATGGGTGTAAAAGTAAACAGTGTAACAAAAAACAAAAAAAACTATTTCATCCCCCCCACAAGTAGTACAGTGTCACTATGGTGACATTGCACTGCTAGGGTGACAGTATGTAAAAAAAAAAAATAAATATAAAAATGTAAACAAATTTTTTTAAAAAATTATAATTTTTGGCTATCAATGAATTTGGATTTTTTTTTTACTAAAAAGATAACTGAATAAATGTTGACCAAGATTTATGAAGAAAGATGTATTTGCAATATTTTATAAGAAAAAAACACAAATTTTTTGGACTTTTTCATTTATATAGCAAAAAAAAATAAATACCACCAAAATAAAGTTTTATCCATCTGAAAAAAATGCTAAAAAATTCATATGGGTACAGTGTTGCATGACTGCGCAATTGTCATTCAAAGTGTGATAGTGCTGAATGCTGAAAATTGGCCTGGACAGGAAGGGGGTGAAAGTGTCCGGACTGGAAGTGGTTAAAATAACGTTTCATTACTGTTTGACCCTTGTTGAAGAGATTTTCCTCACTTTCTGTCCCAATGATGACACAAGTGAAGGAACCTTTCCCACACAGTTCTGATTGGGAGTTGTCTCTGACATAGTAACCAAAGCACCACGCAGCAAATTATTGGGTGGTTGTGGAAAATAGGAGTACCAAGAAGAGACATTTCATGCAGCACCCTGTACTGCAATGATGGGATCTATCCACACGTAATGTGCAGACAGCTCATGAAGCCAACTTCACAGAACCAGTTTTTCTAGTTTAGAGTTTTACAACAACCCAACATCTGAGTCAAACAGCATTTAGAAGAGTTAGAACCCAAGTCATATTTTAAAGCTCAATTTCAGAGTAACCCTTACACTAAAATTAAATTTTTCAAACTCTCGCCCTATAAAAGTAGTAAATATTTACTTCTACCACTTCACCCATCAAATCTAGCTCTGTAATGGGAAATGGAAGAACCCCCAGGCCAGCGTTGGAAGTCTATTCAGAATCTGGTACTGCTGAGAGTCTCTGCTCCATCTCTGCGCTCAGCTGCTCCACCCCCATAAACTTCAATATTGTGTCCTGTAGCAATGTGCAGGGGATGGTGGGAAAAACCACTGAGCGCAGTGGGGGGGAGGAATCTGACACTCCTGAAAATGCTGGCTTTTGAACAGGTTTTAGCAGATGATTTCTCTGCATCATTGCACTCCACACACCAACTCCACAGTGGAGTGCAGCATTCCTCATACTCTGGTCGTGGGCTGTGTGTGGGGCCAGACAGATAAGAATTGTATATATCTAGGTCCGGGATTTACATATGAAACAAAAAGACCATTACTTCTGTTATAAGGCAGAATGGAATTTCAAGAAGGCTTGACCAGCTATCCAGGCAAACATGGCTGCATAAATAGACAAGAGCTTTAAAGTGTTACTAAACCCACACCAGTAAAATCAGTCTGTATATGCAGTAAAGCATGCTTGTTATACTCACTGTGGAACCTAAGGGGTTAATCTTCTGCATTGTGCAAAAAGGCTGTTTGATCTTGTTTCTCTGATCCTCCTCTTCTACTTTCCCCAATCCATCTGCTGATAGTACAGAGCTCTAGGAGTCACTCTGCATATGCTCAGTTTAGTGTGTATGGCTAGAGTGTTATTTTTTTTCTTCGTGAGGGTGCATGTGATCAGCACAGGGCCAATCATCACTGTCAAGACAGAGGGTCAGGGGTCATGCAGCCTCATAGGACAGTCAGAGCAAAATGAAAACTGCTCCTACAAGCTTTAACCAGTGCTCTGCTGGACACTGATAAAAGTCACAAGACTGCTATATACTGCTAATGAAAAAAAGTATTTAGCAGTTTATACTTACTGAAATTATTTCACTTCCATGTTCTGTATACTGTGGAAGACCAAATATAGTGAATGCAGGGTCGTGGGTTTAGTAACACTTTAAAGGTTCCTCACCCCCCCCATATGACTGGAGTTATTAGGAAATACATGTGAAGAGTCCCGAGTGGTCTGGAGGCGTAGGAGGATTCAAATACTGTCGAAATTCGGGTGATTACATACATATTGTATTACTTCAGTCCGGAGGTGTGAGAGTTCTGTGAGCACAGAGGTGTGAAGTCTAGTGGCACAGCGTGAATTTCCTTTGGTATTGGTGCTAGATGATCACGGAACAAGATTTCCTCCATTTCTATTGCTTATTATTATTATACAGGATTTTATGGCGCCAACAGTTTGCTCAGCACTTTACAATATAACGGGAGACAATACAGCAACAATACAGTTCAATACAAGAGGGATAGGAGGGCCTGATCCTTGGAGCTTACAATCTAGGAGATATTACTTAAATTTATGGACCAAGCACTTTTATATTGCATTATATATGATTATTTAGTCACTATACTGTAGATGTTTATTTATGTGCATCTTTACTGTACTTATTTAGTTTTATGGCAACTCATGTGGAGGGAGGACTGTGCACATATTTTGATTCATGAATAGTCACATTATTGTCAGCTGATCTCCTCACACTGCATGTAGTACAGCATCACATAGTTTATTTATTTTCACTAGTGTCACAACACTGCTTATTGGAGGTTTGTCAGTTAATGTACAGAGAACACATACTGCCATTTTATTATTATTATACAGGATTTATATAGTGCCGACAGTTTGCTCAGCGCTTTACATTATGGTGGGAGACAGTAAAGTCACAATACAATTCAATACAAGAGGGATAGGAGGGCCCTGCTCCTTGGAGCTTACAATCTAGGAGGGAGGAGTTAGTGGTACAAGAGGTAATTAGCTGTGGGGGATGGAGTGGTTGGAAGAGTAGAGGATTCCAGTATTAGCTGAGGGCAGGGTAGACTTCCCTGAAGAGATAGGTTTTCAGAGTGCGCCTAAAGATGAGCAGAGTAGGCGATAATCTGATAGATTGGGGTAAGGAGTTCCAGAGGATGGGGGAAGCCCTGGAGAAGTCCTGTAGATGAGCATGGGAGGAGGAGACAAGGGAGCTAGAGAGTAGGAGGTCTTGTGAGGAGTGGAGAGGACGGTTTGGGTGATATTTGGAGACAAGATTGGTGATGTACTTGGGGGCAGAGTTATGAACGGCTTTTACAGAATCAGACCACAAAGTATTGTAATACGAGGATTATTTTCTACTCAAAGCTGATCCTGGGGCATGCATTGACCTCGCTTCCACACACTTAAATACAAATCTGCCATCCTTGGTCCTCGCTGGTACTTCTTCAGCTTGTGACCGTGCGTTACAATCCGTCCACCCTTTATCATAAGCCTAAAAAGTCCTTCCGCTTGACAGCCAATGGAAGGAGTCCTTGTTATCCAGGCAGTGACATGGACACCCAGAGAAGGACCCACCACAGTCCAGAAGAAGAAAGACTTGGGACCTGATACATGACAAGACTGTAGATTTAGGTGAGTAAATGGAGTTTAGAAAGTCGATTATACGCTATACAATCCAATTGTACAATCTCCTTTAGATCTGCCATAAACTATGTAATGCAATGGCCTGCCTGGTTGGATTCAATTTGAATGGTTTAGAATAGTTCCTCTATTACATAGTTTCGGTAAATCAAAACCAGATTGCACAGATTCTAGATGATTGTATAGCGTATGTCCAGCTTATCTAGCTTTAGACGTGATTATTTTTTCCCCACTTAAGGTGGAGTTCCACTCACTCTGTAAAAAAAATAAGTCAGCCGCTACAAAAACTGTAGCAGCTGACTTTTAAAAAACAGCCACTCATCTGTCCCTCGATCCCGCGTTGCCCCCGCCGCAGCTCATTTCACCGGCCGTCCTGTGTTCCAGGCGCCATCATCTTCAGTGTGGGCTTTGTGAATGGCCCCGTAGTCTTCTGGGACCTGACACGTGTCCCACAAGACTTCAGGGAGGGAGGGTAGGACGACAACTTCCACTTCCGATCGCCTAGGCAATGGAAGTGGGGAGCGGGCACCTGTCAAATTCGGGTACCCATTTTACCCCCCCCCCCCGGTCCCCAAAGGTGCCAATCCTTAATGGGTAGCGGGGGACCAATCTTTAAAGCCGAACTTCCCCTTTTGGGTGGAACTCCGCTTAAGGCTAGCCATACACTATACAATCTCCTTTAGATTTACCTAAATGATACAATATAAGACAAACCTACAATGTATACAATATATGACCAATCAGGCAGGCCCTTGCTCTATATGGACGATGGTAGATCTAAAAGAAGTCCGTACAATTGGATTGTATAGTGTATGGGGTGGCGAACAACAAATATGGGGGGGGGGGGGAGTGTGCGTGTGTCACTGCTATAGGCAGCCTCCTCCTAAAATTGCTAGTTGCATCCAATTTTTGAATCACAGACCTGGGCAAGCATGCTGCAAATGAATGTCAGAATTTCTTCATCTCTGTAGCTATCGTGGGTCAGTGATTCATACAACCGAAACGTCACGATAGCCAGGGAATTAGCATTTTCATAAGGAGAGATCAGCAATGGTATCCTCCATAATATCTCATGATTGGTGAGAGGGCTGCAGGTAGGAGGAGCCCAGTAAGGTTGGCTGTCCAACCAGCGCCTAGAGGCGAGCTTGGCTTTGGTCTGAACTTGGAACGCAGTTCAGCTGTCACTCTGGGCCAATAAGCTTCAAGAGAATCTCCGCCCCGCAGCTGACATACACAAAGTGGCAGGGATGACATCACTAACCTAATATGAACACATGGCCACGTTAGGTCAGTTATGTCAGTAGCGCCCCCACCCCTTTGTGTACATTGGCCGCGGGGCAGGGGAATCTCCCGTCTGCAGCTCATTGGCCCAGCAGTGATTGATGACTTCCAGGTTTGGTCTGTGCCCAAGCTCATTCCTACCAGCAGCCCAACACTAACTGATCACATCACAAATTGTTATCCAGTAATCTCCATATTTATCATCAGCATCAAAGGGGATGAAGGGGATTGCTGAGCTCGCAGAATGTACTGGATAGTATGAGGAGCGCTTGTTGTACAGAGTAGTGACCTATCAGACTTGTGTCTTATCTGCAGTGATCCCATCCATCTACTCTGCAGATTATTCCAGGGACCCCTTGGGATGCCCCACATTACAAACAGCAGCTTCCATATCAGAACTAAACTTGTAATTCCCCCCTTTAGGTACCAACACACCTGTAACTGGACCAGAATTCCTACTGATGCCTTGCTCTGCCCCACAGTTCCATCTGTTCTCCTTACATGCCTGGTGCCCAACCTGCAGCCCTCAGGCACTTCATATGTGGCCCTCGGGGTCCCTGCTGACACGAACATTTGTTTCATGATTGCCTTGTTATAGCAGTGACTTCTAACAGCCTCATGTAATATGTCTCCAGTCTATGGCTGACTGACGATCTACTGAACACATGTACCCAGTCTCCGAAAACTCCAAAATGCACATACATAGACCCTGACAATCTCTCATCGCGTCCGCAGACTCTGACCGCCCCTTGCGTCGCGCCCGCAGTCTCTGACCGCCCCTTGCGTCGCGTTCCGCAGTCTCTGACCGCCCCTTGCGTCGCGTCCGCAGACTCTGACCGCCCCTTGCGTCGCGTCCGCAGACTCTGACCGCCCCCTTGCATCTCTGGTATCCTTCCACAGTCTCTGGCCGCCCCTTGCGTCGCGTCCGCAGTCTCTGACCGCCCCTTGCGTCTCTGGTGTCCCGTCCCCAGTCTCCGGCCGTCTCTGGCGTCCCGTCCCCAGTCTCCGGCCGTCTCTCGTCCACAGTCTCCGGCCGTCTCTCGTCCCAGTCTCCGGCCGTCTCTCGTGCCACAGTCTCCGACCGTCTCTCGTGCCACCGTCTCCGGCCGTCTCTCGTGCCCACAGTCTCTCGTGGTCCCCGTCTCTCGTGTCCACGTCCCGGCCTCTCTCGTCCACAGTCTGTCCCCAGTCTCCCCGTCTCTCGTGCCCCGTCCCCAGTCTCTCGTGCCCCGTCCCCAGTCTCTCGTGCCCCCCGTCCCCGTCTCTCGTGCCCCGTCCACAGTCCCGACCGTCTCTCGTGCCCCGTCCCCAGTCTCTCGTGCCCCGTCCCCCAGTCTCTCGTGCCCCGTCCCGACCGTCTCTCGTGCCCCGTCCCCGAGTCTCTCGTGCCCCGTCCCCCGTCTCTCGTGCCCCGTCCCCGACCGTCTCTCGTGCCCCGTCCCCGACCGTCTCTCGTGCCCCGTCCCCCGTCTCTCGTGCCCCGTCTCCGACCGTCTCTCGTGCCCCGTCCCCGACCGTCTCTCGTGCCCCGTCTCTCGACCGTCCCGTGCCCCCAGTCCTGACCGTCTCTCGTGCCCCGTCCCCGGTCTCCGACCGTCTCTCGTGCCCCGTCCCCAGTCTCCGACCGTCTCTCGTGCCCCGTCCCCAGTCTCCGACCGTCTCTCGTGCCCCGTCCCCGGTCTCCGACCGTCTCTCGTGCCCCGTCCCCCCGACCGTCTCTCGTGCCCCGTCCCCGTCTCCGACCGTCTCTCGTGCCCCGTCCCCAGTCTCTGACCGTCTCTCGTGCCCCGTCCCCGGTCTCCGACCGTCTCTCGTGCCCCGTCCCCAGTCTCTGACCGTCTCTCGTGCCCCGTCCCCAGTCTCCGACCGTCTCTCGTGCCCCGTCCCCCAGTCTCCTGACCGTCTCTCGTGCCCCGTTCCCCAGTCTCTGACCGTCTCTCGTGCCCCGTCCTCCCCCGTCCCCGACCGTCTCTCGTGCCCCGTCCCCGGTCTCTGACCGTCTCTCTCGTGCCCCGCCCCCGGTCTCTCCGACCGTCTCTCGTGCCCCGCCCCCAGTCTCCGACCGTCTCTCGTGCCCCGCCCCCAGTCTCCGACCGTCTCTCGTGCCCCGCCCCCAGTCTCTGACCGTCTCTCGTGTCCCGCCCCCAGTCTCTGACCGTCTCTCGTGTCCCGCCCCCAGTCTCTGACCGTCTCTCCTGTCCCGCCCCAGTCTCTGACCGTCTCTCGTGCCCCGTCCACAGTCTCTGACCGTCTCTCGTGCCCCGCCCCCAGTCTCTGACCGTCTCTGTATGCCCCTACCCCCAGTCTCTGACCGTCTCTCGTGTCCTGCCCCCAGTCTCTGACCGTCTCTCGTATCCTGTCCTGCCCCCAGTCTCTGACCGTCTCTTGTCGTCCCGTCCACAGTCTCTGACCGTCTCTCGTATCCCGTCCACAGTCTCTGACCGTCTCTCGTGTCCCGTGTCCTCCCCCAGTCTCTGACCGTCTCTCGTGTCCCGCTTCCAGTCTCTGACCGTCTCTCGTGTCCCTCCCCAGTCTCTGACCGTCTCTTGTATCCTGTCCCGCTCCCAGTCTCTGACCGTCTCTCGCGTCCGTCCACAGTCTCTGACCGTCCGTCTCTCGCGCCCCGCCCCCAGTCTCTGACCGTCTCTTGTATCCTGTCCTGCCCCAGTCTCTGACCGTCTCTCGTGTCCCGCTCCCAGTCTCTGACCGTCTCTTGTATCCTGTCCCGCTCCCAGTCTCTGACCGTCTCTCGCGTCCCGTCCACAGTCTCTGACCGTCTCTCGCGTCCCCGTCCACAGTCTCTGACCGTCTCTCGCGTCCCGTCCACAGTCTCTGACCGTCTCTCGCGTCCCGTCCACAGTCTCTGACCGTCTCTCGCGTCCCGTCCACAGTCTCTGACCGTCTCTCGCGTCCCGTCCACAGTCTCTGACCGTCTCTCGCGTCCCGTCCACAGTCTCTGACCGTCTCTCGCGTCCCGTCCACAGTCTCTGACCGTCTCTCGCGTCCCGTCCACAGTCTCTGACCGTCTCTCGCGTCCCGTCCACAGTCTCTGACCGTCTCTCGCGTCCCGTCCACAGTCTCTGACCGTCTCTCGCGTCCCGTCCACAGTCTCTGACCGTCTCTCGCGTCCCGTCCACAGTCTCTGACCGTCTCTCGCGTCCCGTCCACAGTCTCTGACCGTCTCTCGCGTCCCGTCCACAGTCTCTGACCGTCTCTCGCGTCCCGTCCACAGTCTCTGACCGTCTCTCGCGTCCCGTCCACAGTCTCTGACCGTCTCTCGCGTCCCGTCCACAGTCTCTGACCGTCTCTCGTGTCCCGTCCACAGTCTCTGACCGTCTCTCGTGTCCCGTCCACAGTCTCTGACCGTCTCTCGTGTCCTGTCCACAGTCTCTACCTTCTGTATCACTCCCATAGTCTGACTATATCCTATTGAGTGTCTTCTGTCTCTGATAATGAACATTCGCCAAGGTTGATGTCAGGGGCCACACTCAAGGTCCCCCATATCAGAGTAGACCACTAGTGCTGTACACTGAACACAGGGGGCGCTGTGCACCCACAGTATGTTCTCAGTCCCCGGGGTTGAAGACTGAGGACATCTCATGGTGGAGAAGAGGTACTGCAGGGGACACGGTGTTCTTTTTATTTGAAAACACAGACTGAGCGCCTTATATTGGACATTTTGCTTTCATAACTTTCATCCTCTAAACAGAGTGATAATACATGATGGTGACAAGGCCCAGGGGGATTCAGGGCAGGACAGCAGCTCTAGGCCCCCATAAAATCACACTGAGGCCTGTGCCGGTACAGACATGACTGACGGCCGGGCCCCCGCCACCGATTATCAGGAGAAGAAGAAAGAGACGACGTGCTCCCCTCCCCCCCACACCGCCGCACTCTCCCTAAGGCCGGCGGGCTTACCCTCCGAACCAGAGCCAGCCTCCTCTCGGGTGGCAGCGCGGGGTCCCGGCGGAGAAAGTTGAAGGATAGGTCTCCGGCCCGACACCGCCCGTGTCTTCTTCCCCATGAGAGCGCGTATAGGGCCCCTCACACCTCGGGGCGCGGAACTAACACATCACTTCCGGGCGACGGTCACTACGTCATGCAGTCTAGACTTCCCGGCAGGCATGTGACTGTCAGGAACCCCGCCCCCAGTGTGCTTTACCGCCTCCCCTGCTGGCACGCCTGCTGCTCAGTAGAAACAGCGAATCATGAAGCTGCAGGGAATAATCCCCGCCCACATTGCTTGCCTATATCCGTCCCTTGGAGCCCTATTCCATCTACTGACACCAGCAACGGGGCACAATTCTTCCTACTGACACCAACAACGGGGCAAAATTCCTCCCAATAACACAATGATGGGGCACAATTCCTCCCAATGACACCAACAATTGGGAACAATTCCTCCCAATAACACAATGATGGGGCACAATTCCTCCCAATGACACCAACAACGTGGCACAATTCCACTGGCAACAACGTGGCACAATTCCTCTCAATAACACCAACAATGGGGCACAATTCTTCCCAATGACACAATGATGGGGCACAATTCTTTCCCATGGACACCAACGACGGGGCACAATTCCTCCAAATGATACGAACAATGGGGCACAATTCCTCCCAATGACACCAACAATGGGGCACAATTCCTCCCAATGACACAATGATGGGGCACAATTCTTTCCATGGACACCAAGGATGGGGCACAATTCCTATTCATACCAATGATGAGACACTATTCCTTCCATTAACACCAATGATGGGGCATTATTCCTCCTACTGACACCAACAATGGGGCACTATTCCTTCCATGGACACCAATGATGGGCATTATTCCATCCACTGATACCAATAATGGGGCACTATTCCTTCCATGGACACCAGTGATGGGGCACAATTTTCCATCCATTGGCACCAATAATGGGGCACTATTCTCCCACTGACAACGAATGGGGCACAATTTTTTCCACTGGCACCTATGATGGGGCACTATTCCTTATTGACACCAGTGATGGGGCACTATTCCCACTGACAGCAATGATGGGCACTATTCCTTCCACTGACACCAGTGATGGGGCACTATTCCTCACACTGACACCAATGATGGAACACTATTCCTCCTACTGACACCAATGATGGAACAACTATTCCTCCCACTGACACCAATGATGGAACACTATTCCTCCTACTGACACCAATGATGGAACACTATTCCTCCTACTGACACCAATGATGGAACACTATTCCTCCTACTGACACCAATGATGGGGCACTGTTCCTCTCACTGACACCAATGATGGGGCACTATTCCTCCCACTGACACCAAATATTGGCATTGTTTACTCCCCCTGACCACCACAGTTTGTCCCCCTTTGTTTGCAAAGTTTGGGGACCCCTGGTATAGATAATGGAATTTACACAGTTTTTACTTTCTGACCGCCCATCACATTTCTTGAGGTGCTAATATACCAGGATAGTACAAACACCCCCAAATGACCCCTTTTTGGAAAGTAGACACCCTAAGCTATCTGGTGAGAGGCATATTGAGTCCATGTAAGATTTATTTTTTCTCTTTACAACTTTTTGGAAAATGACAATTTTTTTTACACAACATTATAATTTAAATTATTTATTGCTCACAAAAGCCATATGTATATGTGGAATTACTCCCCAAAATACATTCTGCTACTTCTCCCGAGTTTGGGGGTACTGCATGTGAGAGACACTTTAGCAGCCTAGCTACATACAGGAGCCTGAAATCCAATGACCACTTTCAGGCTTTCAAAGGGCATATTTCCTTATGTCACTTCCTCACTACCTATCACAGTTTCGGAGGCTCTGACATGCCAGGATAACACCAACCCCCCCCAAATGACCACTTTTTGGAAAGTAGACACCCCAAGAAATTTAATAAGAGGTATGGTGAGTATTTTGCAGATCTCATTTTTTCTCTTAAGGTTTTGAAAAAGAAAAAAATATGTTTTCATTTTCTTTATATTCCAAAACTTCGTGGAAACAAACGAGATCTGTAAAATACTCACCATGTTTCTTATCAAATTCCTTGGGGTGTCTACTTTCCAAAAAGGGGTTATTTGGGGGGGTTTGGTGCTATTCTGGCATTCCAGGGCCTCAGAAACTGTGATAGGTAGTCAGGAAGTGTAACGAGGAAATAAAGCCCTTTAAAAGCCTGAAGGTGCTTATTGGATTTTGGGGTCCTATACTTGGCTAGACTGCCAAAATGTCTCTCACTTGTGGTACCCCCACACTCGGGAGAAGTAGCAGAATGTATTTTGGGGAGTAATTCCACATATACCCATGGCTTGTGCGAGAAATATATCATTTAAGTGACAACTTTGTGTAAAGAAACAAAAACAAATTGTCATTTTCCAAAAACTTGTGGTAAAAAATAAATTCTTCTAATGACCCAACATGCCTCTCAGCAAATAGTTTGGGGTGTCTAGGGGTAATTTTGGGGGGTGGGGGCATTTTATGCCCAGCAGTTTATGCCACACATCACTCAGTCTTCTAACCACCTGAAGACCAATCCTTTTCTGACACTTTTTGCTCACATGAAAACAAATCAGTATTTTTTTGCTAGAAAATTACTTTGAACCCCCAATCATTATATATTTTTTAAAGCAGACATCCTAATGAATAAAATGGTGGGTGCTGCAATTTTTTATGTCACATAGTACTTGCGCAGCAATTTTTCAAACGCAAATGTTTTGAAAGAAAATCATTTTTTTAAATTGTAATACCCAAAAACAGTATAATGGCCATTGTTTGGTAAAATATAAAAGATGATGGAATGCCAAATAAATAGATACCAAACAAGACACGCTGTAAAACTGTGCATGCCCTGTGCAATTGCAACAAACTGCATACATTTTTAATATCCATAGGTGATGCTTTAAAAGCCTTTACAAGCTACCATTTTAGATTTACAGAGGAGGTCTAGAGCTATAATTACTGCCCTTGATCTGACGTTCATGGCGATACCTCACATGCATGGTGCAACCGCTGTTTACATACTGACATGGGGCCAACGCTTGCATGCCCCATTGCGCGCATGCGTGGGTGGATGAGGGTGCTTTCTTTTTTTTTTTTTTTTTAAATTATTTTTACACTGTCCCTTTCTTTTTCTTTTTTTTATCACTTTTATTGTTAATATCCCCTGTGATAGCAATGGGCATTGTCATATATTCTTTTTTGAGAAATCTGGGGTCTATCAGACTCTAGATATCTCCTCTGCCCTTACATTATCTAACCTCACCAAGATCGGTGTGATCAGATGCTTTCCCAATTTACAAATGGCGCTGTTTATATCCTGCGAAACTGAAGTGATAAAATGCTTGTAGCTTCCGAATTCTTAGACTATAGAGATGATTAGCACCATTCTGGTCCCCAGTCAGCTCTATGATCAGCTGGCAGAAATGGCACGATCCCCGATGGCACGGGACTGTCCGAGAAAGCAGCGGGGGGGGGGGGGGGGGGGGGGGGGGGGGGGGGGGGGGATCTCTTGGTTGGGCAGTGAATGGGGGAAGTTCGAGTGCTGCAGAATTTGTGGGCTGTCGTGCAGTGGTCAGGACCATGTTGTATTCAGTTCAGTGGTGAGGAACATGTTGTATACAGTGTAATGTACAGATTGCAGTGGTCAGGATTATGTCATGCAGTGGTCAGGAACATGTTGTATTCAGTTCAGTGGTGAGGAACATGTTGTATACAGTGTAATGTACAGAGTGCAGTTGTCAGGAACATGTTGTATACAGTGCAGTGTACAGAGTGTAGTGGTCAGGAACATGACATATACAGCCCTGTGTTCAGAGTCAAAAACATGTCGTATTCAGTGCAGTGTACAGAATGCAGTGGTCAGGAACATGTTGTATACAGTGCAGTATACAGAGTGCAGTGGTCAGGAACATGTTGTATACAGTGCAGTGGACAGAGTGCAGTGGTCAGGAACATGACATATATAGTCACATGTACAGCAGAGTGCAGTGGTCAGGAACATGACATATACAGCCCTGTGCACAGAGTGCAGTGATCAGGAACATGCCATATACTGTGCAGTGTACAGAGTGCAGTGGTCAGGAACATGCCATATACAGTGCAATGTACAGAGTATAGTGGTTAGGAACATGACATATACAGCCCTGTGTTCAGAGTGCAGTGGTCAGGAACATATTGTATACAGTGCAGTGTACAGAGTGCAGTGGTCAGGAACAGGAGATTTACAGCCCTGTGTACAGAGTGCAGTGCTCAGGAACATGTTGTATACAGTGCTGTGGACAGAGTGCAGTGGTCAGCAACATGTGGTATTCAGTGCATTGTACAAAGTGCAGTAGTCAGGATCATGTCGTATTCAGTGCAGTATACAGAGTGCAGTGTTCAGGAACATGTAGTATACAGTGCAGTGTATAGAGTGCAGTGGTCAGGAACATGTCATATACAGTGCAGTGTATAGAGTGCAGTGGTCAGGAACATGTCATATACAGTGCAGTGTACAGAGTGCAGTGGTCAGGAACATGTCTTATATAGTGCAGTGTACAGAGTGCAGTGGTCAGGAACATGTCGTATACAGTGCAGTGTACAGAGTGCAGTGGTCATGAACATGTCGTATACAGTGCAGTGTACAGAGTGCAGTGGTCAGGAACATGTCTTATTCAGTGCAGTGTACAGAGTGCAGTGGTCAGGAACATGTCGTATACAGTGCAGTGTACAGAGTGCAGTGGTCATGAACATGTCGTATACAGTGCAGTGTACAGAGTGCAGTGGTCAGGAACATGTCGTATACAGTGCAGTGTACAGAGTGCAGTGGTCAGGAACATGTCGTATACAGTGCAGTGTACAGAGTGCAGTGGTCAGGAACATGTCGTATACAGTGCAGTGTACAGAGTGCAGTGGTCAGGAACATGTCGTATACAATGCAGTGTACAGAGTGCAGTGGTCATGAACATGTCGTATACAGTGCAGTGTACAGAGTGCAGTGGTCAGGAACATGTCATATACAGTGCAGTGTACAGA